ATGAAGAGGAGGACGAAGAGTCTGAGTCACTGAATCATATAAAAATAATAAGAATTAATCATTAAATAATCAATAATCATCATTAGTATTAACTTTTTTTATACATTATGTATATAATGATAACGATAAAATTATCATCAATGAGCTTTATATGATGCTGCTAGGGCAGAAGGAGGCTCTTAACTGAAGATATCAAAGCACAGATTTTAATGTCCTATTATTTTACCTGTCTGAACAGTTGTCATCTGAGCTGTTTCCTCTGTACTGCATGCTCAGCAGACCCAATGATCCAGTCCCAGAGTGTGGGCTAACCACAATTCCACTCTGGATCTCTTCAGGTCCAATCTGAATGCTGGAGATCTGATTTCCCGCCAGTCCAGACTGATTGCTGGTTAAAGGTTCTCCTGTTGGCCCAAGTTGACCACTGGAGCTCTGATCTCCAGTTTGATCAGACTGAATGCTGGTGCAGTGGTCTGCTGCCAGTCCAGATGAACCACCAGTGCCCTGATCTCCTGTTTGTTCAGACTGATCATTCATGAACGCTTCTGACGTTGGTTCAAGTTGACCACTTGAACTCTGACCTCCTGTCAGTCCAGACTGATCACTGGTAAAAGGTTCTGCTGTTGGTCCAAGTTCACCACTGGAGCTCCGATCCCTTGTCAGTCCAGACTGATCACTGGTAAAAGTTTCCAATGGTGGTTCAAGCTGACCTCTGCTGCACTGATCTCCTAGTTGTTCAGACTGACCACTGGTGCATGGCTCATCTGTTGGTCCAAGTTGAGAACCAAAGTTCTGATCACATGTGTTTTCAGTCTGAAACGGTGTATTATTAATATCCAATTCCATTTTCTCTTTTTCAGATTCTTGATCTTGATTCTGTAAAAGAAACAAGATTGTAACAGTTAAAACACAATACAAAAGTTATTGTGACCTAAGATAACAATGCAAAAGTACATGAGAAGAACTCCATGGAGTAGGATTACACTTGTAGATTGTGGGTTGCAGGTGTTAAATCTACGTTTCTGACATTTAAATCGATTTAAATGTATGCCACATTTTTGACTATGCCTTTAACTTCTGTTACTTTTGTTTATGCTTTAAAAATGGCTTGAGCACTGACCTGACTTAAAGCACTTTATATAAAAAAGAATTACGCAACTATATTATCGTTGTTTTTGTTATAACGCGGTAAACTACATGATATGGTGACGTGACATAAACACACGGGGGCGACCCGCTACATGTAAAATAAAACAGCCTTTTTCTAGATAGAAGACTTATGTCAGATCTTCATCTAACGTAAGTGTACATCATTAATATGTCTCATATGCTGTTCATTGCTTTATGAGTGAAACTTTTAATTTGGAAAAATACAGAGGGCCCCTTTAAGTAATCAGAATGCAAGATTAAAGTAGCCGAGGAGGGTGACAGTAATGCTGTGACTTGCAATCCAATTTACCATCCAGCATTTGATATTTCATTCTCTCAGTGTGAGCTGCATTATCCACCACCAGTTCATAATTGTGACTGTACTGTTCAAGGTTGAAGCACATGCTCATTTATAATCCACGTTTAAAGTAATTACAAATGTACAATGTTCTAACCGTTAGTAGGAATTCAGTACGTACCAAGTCTGCCAAAACTAATGAACGATCAAAACATAGGTAAGGTTATAAAACGTTCTTTACCTGGCCATCAGTTACGTTCTCTGTGCTTGAATTCTCCATGTTTAGGTTTCCATGTGAGAACAGCGTGAAGAAAGCGCTTCAAATAAGATTTTACGTCATTGGCGTCACAACAACAGGAACCGTAAAGACCATTCCAAAATAGCAGTCCCAATCGTTATTGTCAAAATAATAATAAAATGTTTAAAAACATTTACATTTAGTCATTTAGCAGACGCTTTTATCCAAAGCGACTTACAAATGAGGACAATAAAAGCAGTCAAAACTAACAAAAGAGCAACAATATATATGTGCAAATGACAAGTCTCGGTTAGCCTAACGCAGTACACGTAGTATATATATTATACATACACACACACACACACACACATATATACACAGGCACACACACACACACACACACACACACACAAACAAAGAAAAACAAGTAGATAGAATAGAAAAAATAGAAAGCTAGTGTTTTTTGTTGTTGTTGTTTTTTAAAATAAAGAATAAAATTTTTTTAAAAAAGATAAATATAGAATCAGAATGAGCTTTATTGCCAGGTATGTTTACACATACGAGGAATTTGTTTTCGTGACAGAAGCTTCCACAGTGTAACAGAATGACAGTGACAGAACAAAAAACACAGATAATAAAAATAGAACAAGTAAAATAAGGAATAAAAAATATACAAATCGACAATTTTATGTACAGGTATAGAACAAGAGAAGTAGAATTAAAATAGAATAGAAAGTGTTAGAGTTAGAGGGTCAAATAAAGGTGGAACAGATGTGTTTTTAGTCGTTTCTTGAAGATGGTTAAGGACTCAGCTGCTCGGATTGATCTGGGCAGTGTTGTTATTTAAAGTGTTGTATTATAACAGGAAAAAAAAGTCAATTCCTTCGAGCCGGATTCGAACCAGCGACCTAAGGATGTCAGTGTTGAAGCTCTACAGTCCTCCGCTCTACCAACTGAGCTATCGAAGGGCTGCTGTGACGTCATCCACACTGGAATTTACTTGTTACTTTACATAATCAGAAGCTTTTAGGTTGTAAGAATTGAATCACGTTAATGAACGTTATTATCATATTTACAATATTTATAATAGCTGTGTAATATATTAAAATATTACTAATTACATTCTAATTTAAAACCGCAGGTTGCGAATAAACCGAAGCAAATAAACGTTTTCCTTCGAGCCGGATTCGAACCAGCGACCTAAGGCATCTGCAGGCTGCAGCCGGGTATACTTGGCTATTTTGGGGAGAAAATGCCAACTGGACAACAGCACAGATACACAGAAATAGACAGAATAACAACGAAAGAGAAGTCAAAGTGCAATAAAAGAACGCAATGTTGGGCAATCCACTGCAAAAATGATCAGTGTGACAGTAAATATCTTGCCTTTCATTGTTTTGTCAAAGACCCTGACAAGTAATTTATTCACATAAGTGTAAAAATAGTGTGTGTTTTGAAGTGGGACGTAGCACTGTCTGATGCACCTGCTAACTTTTAACTGTTTTTAGTCTAGTAGTAAACTTAATTCCTTTTAATAACTGCAGGTCCTAGCCATAGAAACCATAATAATGATTTATATGGATATGACACTAAGTTAGAATGAGCTTATGCAACTTTTACTATTACTATATATTATTAGTCAACACACTACAAACATGATGTTATAGAACATGATGCATTGCTGTGTCTGTCATAATTAAATAATTTTGGAGACAGTGGCTGTACATGTTTTTTTGTTTTGTTTTGTTTTTTACATAAAGATTTTGTTTACAGTCTTCCTTTAACGGACATTAATATAAGACAATACTGCAAAGACAGTTTACTGTCAAGCTGTTATATTCCTGTTATATATTTTATTGTCCAACATTTTTTTTTTTTTTACATAATTTATTATTTTTTTTTATTTACAGTCTTCCTTTAACGGACATTAATATAAGACAATACTGCAAAGACAGTTTACTGTCAAGCTGTTATATTCCTGTTATATATTTTATTGTCCAACATTCCTAATTTTTCTGTCATTAATTTAATTTCATATGTTGGTATTAATTCAGTGTTTATAACGGTAATACTTGAACTTAAAATAATTTCAACCGAAACTGACATCAATATAATAATAATAATATAATAAGCCAATCACTGGTGGATTCCTACATTCGTCAGACCTTCGATAGCTCAGTTGGTAGAGCCAAAGAACTTATACTGACAAGAAGTGAAAGCGTTCAATTGCAACTCATTCCATTCTGGAGTGAAAGCGACTCGGCAGTCGGCAGTTTTTATACAGTCCAGAGCCATAGAAAGAGTACGGCTCTGATACAGTCTATGGTCGGCAGTCCACTAGCTTCTAGCTGTCGCTACGGCAAATATCAGCTGCTTTGTTTAAAAACCCGTACATTAAAGCTGAAATACAGCCTGAATGATGACAACAATAACGTACAATCACTAGACTATTGATCATCAAATCCTTTTAACAGTTTATTTTACAGACTTTGTGTTTAAGTCTTCTTTTTTCACAAAACCTTTGCTCTCTAGAAACCATTAGCAGTCAACCAATCACAGTGGGGTCTTTTTACAGCAATCGCTTCAGATTTTTTTATTATTATTATTTATTCATTAAGGAGAGGCTGGGAAAACTGTACATCGCCTACCGTTCTCTCTCAGCTAAAGATAAAATTAATTAGAATTAAATGCTTGATTAACGTCACTATTACTTTTCATGTTAAATGTGAATATCAGATCCGAATTTAGCTTGCAAAACATAATTTTACCAAGCTACGGCTAGTGTAATGTTAATAAATTACCAGCAGATAGAGCTATGGGTCTCTACATAAATCCTTGTACATGTACGTTTGAAATGCAGCGTACACAAAAATGATTTTGAAGTTTTACGATTAAAATTATTTGCACATCCTCGTGTTACACAAAACCTGTATAACTGTTTCCGTGGAACACAAAAAAAGATTTAAAGACAGCGTTTTACAATGAAAGCGAATGATGAAAGAGGCCATCATTTGGCCTACAATGTCTGAGAAAAAAATCATACAGGTTTAGAACAAGATGAGGTTGAGTAAACGCTACATAATTATTATTTCTTGGGTTATTTTATTGCTATTAAACCATAAATCATGATTTACGCTTCTAATTTCACTAAACAGTAAAATTATTCACCCCCTCACCCAGTTTTACTGACACACTCATATTCCCACATTCTGATGGTTTAATGAAGGATTAGGATATTTATATGTTCTCATTTTTAAATTAATATAACACTTTGCAGTGACGCTAGTAAACAGAGACAAAAAGCAGCACACAGAGAAATGTCAGGAGGCCATGAACCCCACAGTGGTTTAATCCTAAAAAATATATGGCATGATTGACAACACAACCTGGATCAGATGAAATAAATCGAATTTAAAAAAGTATGAAAAATAAATAATTAAAAATGTTATGCAGTTTTTGATATAATTTTGCTCAAATGTTATGAAACCTGCCACATCCTAGGACTCAAATTACGTGAACTTGTACTTGGCAAGTATCATTTTAAAGAGGAAAAAAAAAAAATGTAGGGTTTATTTATGAGTCACATCTGAAGGTTTCCAAAAAATATATATATTATTAGTCAAGTTAACAGAGATAAACAATGGCACATATTGGATTTCTAATTTAAAAGTTAAGTGGTGCTCTGAGGACTGTCATATTCTGGAGACAAAGTTAAATAAATTACTACCATTAACATACATATTTGAGTATTATATACAAGGGAGTTATTGGAACAAAAATCTACAATTCAAATTTCGTTGTCAACAATTCTGAAGTATTACCCTATTTTACACCATGTGTTTGTGTATGTTAGTTCTTGTATTTGGAATTTTAAAAAAAACAACAACAACCCTGCAACAGCGCAGTCCTGTGATAAACAGGTGATACTTTTATGCATCCTCACCAAGTCCAGCAAAATAGACTCTTTCTGTAAAGGAATAATATAAACAAACTCCTCTATGTACAGGATTCAACAGAACAGGTAACAGACTAACTAAAACACTGATTCTGACAGATCCAGGGCACAGAGGCTAGAGAACAGAAGCGCATGACAACCGGCATTTGATTTTGGAACAGGCTGATTCAGTTTTTCAGTAGAAAAAAAGCTCACTAAATAAGATATGGCAGGTGTGATATCTCATTCAGATCCAATAATACATTTCCAATTGAGAGTTTGTACCCCTTTAGAATGCATATTTACATTTCGCATATTTTTGTTACAGGAAATGATGCCGAATCCAGGTGTCATGGCGAGCAGCTCCAGTCTCTGGCCTCTGATTGGTGTAAACAGACACTTGATGAAACGAAGAGGTTATAAAACCCATCCACACACCGTTTCCCCCCTTTTAGTCTGCGTTTTTCGTCTTCTAAAAATCTAAGAATTTTATTTTTGTGCATAAATTATGACAAAACACATCCCTCCTTTTCCTTCAACATCCATTAAATTCTCTATAGCAATAGTGGTTTTCATTTTCATAGGAAGAACCCAAGAATTTAGTTTGTAAACAGTCAAATCTGAATCTCCAGATGGCATCTTGATGACTGTTTGGACTTGGTCAAATGTGACGAGAATGAACGTTTTTATATTATTCTGATGGAAATAATGTAAAAGAAAACATAAAATCCTTCATGAACCGTTTGCATGGATGAAGCCAACCAATCAGAAGGGAGCGAGAGAACTTGACCATCCAATGAGAAGGCAGAATTTGTCATGTGCGAGTCCAGACTTGATGGACGACTCCAAGCAGTGGCAAAGTGACAGTAAGGAGATCAGAAGGGGTTAAAGGTCACTCTTTTGTGAGCTGTGGCTAGTTATTGGGCATTTTTTTGGGCCCCTGCATAGCTGAAACGTGCCATTGGCAGTATTTGAGCAATATGGGATGAAGAATCGCAGGTCATGCCTTTTTGAACAAGCGTAGGACAACATCCAGGGCGAATGGGTGTGTTTAAAACAAGCCGAGCATGGGTGAGTCCACAGATATCAGTCTTTAAGGGATTTCTTCGTTTTTAGTAGATTTTCGACATGTTTTTTTAAAACAAAAAACGCTGAAATGTGGTGAGGTGCGACATCGTAAAGTTCATTACCACCAATACGGAAGCCCGTTCCAACTTCCCTCTGTAAATACCAGGGAAGCGCTGCCCATTGGCTATGAGCACTGTCCGTCACTGGCTCCGCCCCCCACAAAGTGTCACAGTTCTGTCCTCTGCAAAGCTCCTCCCCCTACGCATCAGATAGGCAACTCTGAATACTGTCCATCCATAACTGTGCATTTGTGCTGTCCTGGGCACAGAAGTTATACACTCTTTTGGTCGTCTTGAGCTGAAAGAAAGGGGAAAAACATTAATCATGAACCATGGACAAATAATGCAACATGCACTGATGGGATTATAGAGGTCTTACATCAAAGAAGGCTTTGTCATCTATGTTTTTAGGTGCTCCCATGGTGGGCGTCCCCGGAAAGACAGATTCCACTTCAGCTAGATCAATTACTCCCTTACAGTCTTTATCTTGCCTTGTTTCATAGTATCGCAACTAGGAAGAAGAGAAAAGGAATAAACATATTGCAAGGAAAAAACATATTGCAAAATAATTAATTTTAATATATAACATGCAAGCTTTGTGTACTGAATCAATTACAGTTCCAAAACGTTTTCAGTGCAGCAAGTACCTGGTGTTTGGTCTTATCCAGTACAAACCAACGCGGTTTCCAAGGTTTCAGCAACGCGCCTTTTTTGTATAAAATACCCTCAAAGCTCCTACAGCCAAAAAAGGAAAAAAATATATTACATTTTAATTCAAAAGATGTTCTAACCTTCAAGCATTCAAACCTACAGTAAAGAGTAGTTAGTAAAGATATAGTTTTTGAGTTCATATAAAAATGATATTAATTATATATGCTAAAACATATTTAGAAAATATGTGCATTATTTGTAAAAATATTTTAGTATTAATTATGCACTATTACAGCATTTACTGGTATTTTTAATTAGCTTTTATTTTTACAGTTTCAATTTTCATTTTAATTTTAGTCATTTTGTAATGTGCTTTTTAAAATATTTCTATTTATCTTTAAATAAGTTTATTTCAATTTTAGTCATTTTAATACTTCAACTTGAACTTATCTATTCCAGTTAGCTGCCAAGGCAACATTTCTATTTTTTTTTTAAATTTCCATCTAATATTTATATTTTATTTTGTATTTCATCATGTCAATTACTATTTAATAGTTTTACAATGACAACACTGGTAAAGAACTGCATTGTGCATACACACACACACACACACACACACACATCTAGTGAAGACTAAAAAATTCTTAAATTTTGGGGGGGAAACTATAATATACTTTACACTTTCCATTATACATTCATAAAATGTTAACCTTTTAAACTGAAATTTAATTAAAAAAAAACATTTAAAAAAACAACTAAAGTTGAAAATGTCATTGCCCCAAAAACAGACCCAAGGTGACCGATGAAGAGTGTGTTCACAGACCTGTTCTCGCTCTCAGTGCTCTGGAACTGGCTGTAGAGCGTGCTGGTACTGGGTCGACCAGCTGCAGGTGTGGATGTGGCACTGACCTCACAGTCCAGTGCCAGGTTGATGGAGGAGCCGACCCCGCTCTCCTGCAGATACACACCCTGAGAGCGACGCTGGTGACTCAGATTAGACGACATGAGCAGAGAGCTGGAGAAGGAGTGCTGGGGAGAGAGGAACAAAATATTAGTACACCATCCCATTAGTAATTTGTAGATAAAGGTAAGATGGTAATTCGTCTCTTACCCTGCTCTCTAGTCTGGACTCAACCCGTTGGGCCGCCTTAATCTTGTCCCATGTGTCTTTCCATTTTTCCGTTGGTTGTCCCAACTCAGTTTCCAGGTTCTGCACATCCTGAATAAATATATATTAAGAAGGTCATCAGCATTCATGTATGAAGACAACTTAATTTTAATTACCACTTCTGCTTTATTTCTCACCTGCAAGAGTTTGGTGATGGCATCAGGTAGTACTTTACTGAGGCTGTCATAGCAAGGCCAGACGATCCTCCGCTGGGACTTGGGGGCCGTCGTCTCCTGTCTATCACCAGCTTCCTCCTGTGGCTTCTCCGGCCGACCCCGCACTAATTCCCAGTCAAAGGACGGACCCTCAGAAAGCATTTCCTCTGTGTAAAAGTCCCAAACCTTCAAGTTGGAGATAAAACTGTAGGGCTTCAAGACCTGCAAGACAAAAGAAAGGCAAGTTACACACACTAACCAATAGAGGGCACTAGAGTCATTTAGTCACATTTTGTTTCGAACTATGTTCTCAAACTAAACTAAGAATGTCAGAACAAAATTAGAAAGTTACCTCCTCCTCCTCAGGTGAAAACATGTAGTTGTAGAATATGGGGGTCTTCTTGTTGAGCCGGTCAATGTAATCCCAGACAGACTTGCACACCTGAGGGTTCTTCCTCTCACCTTTTTCCTCATACAAGACACCTACACAGACAATACATTGGGATAGGGCCAAACAGAGTTCAGTGATTGAATACTATAAATAAGCACCATGAAACTTCCTGTAATATATCACTTGACTTTTGATAGTACTACACAATGAGAGTACAATAACATCAAAGAAGATTCGATCACAATCTCATTATGAGAGTCATGTTAACAGTTGACATTGCGCAGCATTTAATAAGTTGTTGAATAATTTCTTGTTAGGCAATTTAGACTCACCAAGCTCTATGCGCTCATAGTCGGAGTCCAGCAGGAAGGTGCGGAAGCGGTTGGAGACGTAGTGGTAGGCTAGGAACTTCAGATAGTACTGACTGAACTCAAACTCCATGGGGAACTGTAGATGGATCTGTTGGGAAAATGAGCAGAAGGAAGAATCATCTATCAGATCTTAAGCTGCAGAACAATTAATTAAATCTGCTAGCATTAAACATGGATTTTAGACCAAGGAAAACCAATATGAAACTACTGAAAGCAAATTGCAATTGTAATAACTAGGTTTATATGTCCAACACCACAAGACAGAGCTATATAAAAGTATATATGACAAAAAAAAAGGCCCAAGACTGAACCTTGTGGGACACCAAAGCAGTTAATCTGTAAATCATTACTATGCATTTTGATCAATCAGAACAGTATTTATTAAGGTATTTACAAACAGTAGAGTCACAGTGGTGAGATTAAAGCAATTTTTAAGGTACAGAGAATATAGTGGGCAAGTTTTCTTCCATGTTGCCTTCTACTTGAAAAGGAAGGGGGTAGGTTATTAATTACATTTTGTTGTTTAAAAAAATAAAATGACAATTATAAACTAAGAACGTTGAAACAAAATTAGAAAAATGCCTGCAGAATACAGAATATTTCCATACAATATATATGAAAAAACGAACTGGGCCTGAGACGGAACCTTGTGGGGCACCTATATTGTAAAGTGGAGCCCTAGTGTTTAGGAAAAAGCCATTTCAAAGGAACAGAGTGGGCAAGTTTTCTTCTTCCAAATTGCCTTAGTGAGAAGGACATGGGATAAGAAACAAGCTCTCCTGGATTTCTAGGAGCTTAATCGAGTTCATTGTGTAAGAGATAACAATCATCTTTGATTTCTTGTCAAATCCAGATTCACTGTTCTGAAATCCCACTATTAAGCAACCTCATTCTTTAAACGTGTGGGGAAAGAAAGTCTATCCTTATCTTCAGGGTAAATTAGCTAAAAGGCTTGCGCAATCAGGATGAGTTATAGTAAGGTATCTCATCTTTGAAGGTGTGGTCTGTTTAGAGTGACAAAGCAGGAAGTTGGGACAAGTATGTGTATATCAGCATGTATTCATGAGCTGCCTTTCTGTACCTGCTCATCCTATCACCAATCATATAAGGTTTATTCTTTTTCCCTTTTCTTTGGACAAGACCTTCCAAGAAAGTGGAGATTGCTCCTTATCAACACCCAACAAAACAGCAGATGTAAATTTTACGATGGACAAGATAAGAACTTTCCAGAAACAGATTTAAACAGCTCCACTGGAAAACTGAATAAAGAATGCATGTAAAAAAACAAAACATCCATCATGCAATAATGCCATGCATTTGAGTGCATAAAGAAAATGGTTTAACATAAGAGTAAAAAAAAAAAAACGTAAAATACATAGATACATCACAAATGCTTGTGCATGTACATTTACTGAAAGTTATAGTGATTTCCCAACCAGCAAATATGGGGCAGGTTGAGAACGTTATCAGCAACTCTGCTCTCTGATTATTGGTGCCACCCACTGGAAAACATATATCGGACAGCCACCAGTACACATACCTGGTGCACACAGTCAAGGAACTGTAGGAAGACAGGTGTGAATCCACTGCTCTGGCTGGCTAGCGTCTGGGCTCCACGGTGGCTGAATCGATGACCGAACGACAACCACTCTTTCTCCACAAGCAGCCTGAAACCATCAATTGTTCGGTAGTATGGATCCGACAGAAGTTGCACCAGGGACACCACCTACATCCAACACAGCATTAATGCAGACATGGACAAACAAAATTGATGACAGACACAGCTCATGCATGTTTAGGTGTTTGTCCTACCTGTGTTGTGACATCCCAGCCATCTTCCAAACTAACCATGACGGAGGAACCGTTGTCCAGGAGTTCCACAACAAGAACGGACACCTGTAAAACCTTGTGAAGCTATGGGACACAAACATCAAGAACATCAAAAATTGTAGATCCAACTGACCAATACACTGTATTTTTAAGTGTTAAATTAACCCAAATAAAAGGAGAAAAGTGGTAAGGTACCAGATTCATCCACTCCGATTCCTCCAGGCAGCGGTGAAAGTTCATGTTTGTGTTTGGTTCAGTGTTGGGTGAGGAAGGCACACAGGCTTTCATCAGCTTCTTGAAACTGTTCTTCACCTGCCGTACATCAAAGACCTCGATAGGCACCACCTCCCACTGCTGGAAGGAGTCCTGCTTTCCACCCTGACCACAACAAGAAGACTGAGGGCTTAGTTTTGATTGATTTAAATAAAATGATCAGATCTTAAAATTATAGAAATTAATTGCGTGATAGTTCTGGTAACAGGTCTTGAAAATCAACTAATATTGCAATTCAAGTTGTCACAAGTTATCATATTCGTATGAAAGTTTAAGTATTTAAGCTAGTAACCTTGAGCTGGGACTTGTCTCCAATGATGTAGAGGTACGCCCTCTGTTGGCGAAGGAAATAGGTCTCGGATGGGCCTCCATTAGTCTGGGGGGACTCTTTCCCAGCCAGCCTGTTCCCCACATCAGGGTTATACGTGCTGAGCCGCCCACTACCACGAATACTGCCCCATTTTCCTGGGAAACACAAAGACCAATGAAAATCATTCACTGATGTAGAATGGGCAATTAATTCTGCTTTGTGGAATCGTTTGTGTGTGAATTTGCATGTTTATTTGGGGACTGGCAGAATTTGTGATTTCTACAAACACCAGACAAACAAGACAATGACAATTTGGTGGATCACATGCAATGAGATGTGTATCACATCCTCACACACAATACAAATAAATCAAACAGACATGGTGGTCAATGATTAGTTAGCACAGGTAAAGAGGATGACAACACTACATGGAAACTTAGTGCTAAAACTCGCTGGCGTCATTGTCGAGAGATTTGATTGGTTAGATTTGAGAGCAGGGGCGGGCCTACTGTACCTCTAGGCGAGTTGCGGGCCTTGACAGAAACTCTAGGCTGAGAGAGGGAGATGACCCTTGCCCTCTGACCCAGCGCTAAGGTCAGATGACATAAAAATGCCCATTACTATCAGCAAACAAAATCGGGCAGCCAATAATAAGCCAATGCAAAAAAAATATATAAAAAATGCACAATGACGTCCTCTGCCATATGGGATTGGATGTCAAAAATTAGAGTTGAATAAAGAACTTAATAAATGGTTGGGAACAGAGGAATGGATGGCGGGTTAAGTTGTGAGGATCTTAAAAACACACTCTCACCTCCTCGACTGAAGGTTCCTGGCACATCCTCTTTAGTCCCCATGACTTGTTTCATTAAAGCTCCTATTTTAGGCTGCCTCAGCTTGTCTGATGAGTCTGAGGCCCAAATATGACACACACATAACACATTAGGGGGGTAAATATCACAAGTGAATTGTTAAGGTATACATAATTGACATTGTCTGGGAGGATTAGTATTGTTAGGGTCAAGTAAGGTCAGGGTTAAAGGTCAACCCTAACCTGAGTTGCTCATGTGCGAGGAGGTGAAGCCACTGAGCGTGTTCCTCCCGCTGGCCTCGCTGTATGAGGGCATGGAGCTGATGATAGCCTGCAGATACTTCTCCTGCTCCAGGCTGGTGGAGTCGGCCTGCGACGGGCCTGAAACCAAACACAAACATGTTTACTTTTATACCATAAATATGCTCTGGTTGATCTCTTCCTGTTCTAATCCGCTTTATGTGGCCTAGTACTAAGAGAACTGGGCTTAATAGTAGAGATCAAACAGCACAGCACAGTACTAACACCCCAAAGGTCATGGGTTCAATTCCCAGGGGATTCATCAACTGATAAAATGTATAAAAGTGTCTGCAAAAAGCATGGATGTATATAATAGATATATTTACAAGTGTTGTTATAGTTAACAAAAATTATAAAAAACAGTTCTTGCTAATTAAAATAATGCTAAAATATAAAATAAAATACTAGGTGAAAAACTTTAAGTTGAACTACTAAAATTTAAAAAAGCAAAGTAAAATAAAAATAAAGCTAAATAATATAACAAAAAACAAAAATGACAAAAGCACATTACACAATTACTAAAACGTAAACTAAAATTAAAATAAAAACTGAAAAATATTATAAATCATTTATAATTACAATAAAAATATATTATAATAAAAATAAAATAAATACAATTCAAAGTATTAATAAATACTATAATTGTGAGCCCACAACGCCTTTAGCATGCAGGCCGGCCGAGCGCAGCAGCAAAGCTTTGGTGCGTGAGTTCCTCCAGCACACCACAGGGAAGCGGTTCTGCCGGTAGCAGCGGCAGATGCGCTGGATGGTGGAATCGGGGATGCTCTGAGGCACGATCAGTAACCCTGGATAACTGAAACACACAAACAGACAGCCAATGAGATTTAGGTATAATTGCTATGCTAACGGTATGGTTTAGCCGAGACTGAACTTTTGTTTCTGAGAATTCCGGAACTCACCTTCGGCAGACCGTGTACATCCGGTTGACGGTGGAGATCCGGAAGGGCTCGTTTTTGGAGCGGGTCAGGCTGTTGCTGAGCGTTCCCAGTCCCAGCCGCTGGTAGTCCCGACAGCAGGCCCGCTCGACCACATTACTCATGGTCTGCCGGTCTGACGAGCGGATGGTGGAGGAGAGCGTGAGTGAACTCTGGTCCGGCTCTTCAGACACTGCTCAGTCAGAGAGGTTGCATTATATTACATAATCACATATCAGCCATCGCAAACATCAGTCTATCAAGTTGTAAATGTGTTTTTTTTTGTGTGTTTTTCTTACCAGAGATCTCATCCTCGTCCATCTCTGACTGAAAACTGCTGCGGTTTTCCCAGGTTGGTGGAGAATACTTCTTCCGGGTTACATACTGACGCCCAATGGTCCTCTTTGCGGATTTAACAAGGTTTTTAGACAGCGTTCTAGAATAAACAGCGGCTCAAACATTTTAATCACTTGAAAAATCTGATTTATGTTGTTTAAGACTTGTATCAAGACTTATATGCATATTTCTTTAAATATAAAAATATGAAATATTTTTAAATATAAAATTATATATATATATATATATATATATACATAGGGTGCTTCTACTAAATACTGAGCATTTTTCAGTTTTTCTTTTTTAATAAATCTGCAAAGATGTCAACAATTCTGTGTTTTTCTGTCAGGGGGGGGTGCTGTGTGTACATTAATGAGGAAAAAAAATTAACTTAAATGATTTTAGCAAATGGCTGCAATATAACAAAGAGTGAAAAATTTAAGGGGGTCTGAATACTTTCCGTACCCACTGTATATACATATACACACACACACATACACACTTTTTACTGTTCATACACATGTACTTAAAATTTTAAATATGTATGAATAATGAGCTCAACTTATTTCTTATTACTTAATATTCAGGCTAAATATAAAAATAATGAAACAAATATAAAATAATGTTTTATAATATAAAAATTATAATATGAAAATTCACATAGACCAAAGTGAATCATGTTTGTGTGTAAGTATCAAGCACTTTCCAAGTCTAGAGGGAAGACTCGCCATTTAAATCCATAACATGTCTGAGCTGTTGTCATGGTGTATTTTTCCAAAAACGTTAAAAGCTGCTCTCAAAAGCATTTGAAGATGATTGGTCCTGCCCTCAAGAGCGGCGTAGAACAGAACCGCATCTGAGTTTGCCATGACACCCCATTTGCTGCTAATGCAGGATCTTAACGCAGGAGCCTTTGCAATTTCCACTGCTGAATAATTTACTGCTTGTCAGCGCCACTACACGCTATTTCTCCCCTCTTTCTCGGTTTTGAACCAGTGCTACTGGGACACATGACCCAAACAGGAAGAGGCTGGATCGGGAAAGAAATTGCATGTGTGTGTGAGACAGAAAAAGGGTGGAAAAACAGAAATGGTCTACTGGGAGCCATGTCACACAAACTCTTGACAAACACATTTAAAGAGGAAGGTCAGCATCCATTGAGTTCTTACTTTAGCGACTGGTTCTTGTCCTTGGTCTTGTGCTCCACCGCCAGCTTTGCAGACTGACCCACGGTGAAGGCAAATGTGCCCTGGACGTGCTGTGGGTATCTGAGCTTATGCATGTGCTTCCTGAACACCTCCGCGAGATCTGACGCCACCTCCTCATCAAAGGCGATCTTCATCAGCTACAAGAGAAAAAAAAATAAATAAATGAAGTAATTGGTAAAGAGTAAAGGCAATGCTTCTAAACAACAAATATACAAAATAAAATATTTGCATTCATATTTTTTGCACCAAAACCCATCAAGTCAGACAGTTTTTTTTTGGTCACTCTCTAAATGTCTTTTTGGGGGGCATCCTAAACAATCCTAAATATCCATTTAAAAACAAGCTTCAAAAAGGAGTAAGAAATAAATATTTTTAAATAATTTATTTAAAATATAAATTATATAATATATAATACTAGTCTGTATTAACTGAATAGGAAGGGTTTTGATCCATTCTCATGTTACTATATCACAAATATAGCTAAATAAAATATTTACAAGCAATAATTTTCCACCAAAACCCATTACACAAGTCAGATAGTTGTTGTTTTTTTGTCATTCTCTAAACGTTTTGGCATCCAAACAATCCTCAATATCCATTTTAAAAACAAGCTTCAAACAGGAGTAAGAAATAAATATTTATAAATTATGTGTGTGTGTGTGTGTATATATGGGTGTGTATATATATATATATATATATAGGGTTTTTGATCAATTCTCATGTTACTAAATCACAAATATAGCTTAATAAAATATTTGCAAGCAATATTTGCAAGCAAAACCCATCACACAAGTCAGATACAGTTTATTGTCATTCTCTTGAGTTTTTCTTTGGCATCCAAACAATCCTAAATATTAATAAAAAAATATATTAAATATAAAAAAATTACAAACATTAAAACAAAGTAATAAATAAATAAATTAAATAATTATTTTGGGATTTTAAATATATATAAAATTATAATAAAATAATAGAATTATATAATATTAACCTGAAATAACTGAACAGAAAGGATTTTTGTGCACTTAAATGTAATGTGAGTTATGGAGAAACAGGAAACAGAGAAAGGTCAGGTGACACCAATACCTGAAAGGTGCAGGAACGCAGCTGGAGACCCTCCTGGACTAACTGATCCATGGGGAGGTTAACAGAGATCCGCTTCTCTTTCGTGAGGGAGGCGATGGGGAAGGAGCGGGTGACCACTTGCTCTCCAACTGCACAACACAAACATGTACGGCAAAATTTAATGCACCTACAAAAAGGCTTTTTGTGTAACAGGCACATTGATTTTCATTTTCAATTTCACAGCGTGAGCACAAGTTAGTGAGAAAACTGCTTCAGACAAGCAGGAAATTTCTATAATTCATGGCCACCAGCATCCCAACAGCATGACTGCAGAGACTACACCAAAGTGAGCTGCTCTAAACTAACTACACAAGTCACCCCCAGCGACAAGCATGACTTTTGACCAATAGGAGCGTACCGAGAGGGTCGGTTGGCGTTCCCTTGAATATGAGGCGGTAGTTAGAAAGGAAGATGGCTCCCTCGGCAGGCAGCAGGGGCGGACCACCCATGGCGCCCGTGGCTTCCTCTCGGCCATCTGTTATAAGGTGCACCCGCATGCCGTCCATCACAAACTCCTCACCGGGGAGCAGCGTTGGTCTCAAAAGCTTGGGCTGGAGTCAGAGAGACAGAAAGAGAAAAATAAAGAGGAAACAGAGAGACAGGGCAAGCAAAGTCAGTATATATCAGGAACGAGTTGCTCAAATATGAAATTCATACCACACTTGATTGCAAACATGCAGAATGCTTCAAGAGATCAAGAACTGGAGGAAATTGATCAATCACATCACAAAAACACACAGCAAAGGTGCATTTCCTCTCTGTCAGTTTGACATTTCTTGAGCATGTAAACACTTTTAAGCTAATGAACCGAATTCATCAGAAATTTGTAATGTGATTTATTTCAGAGTAAAACAGGATAGTCTATCAAGTGTGACTGATTTTATCCACTGGGAACTGATTAGATCATGAAATGTGGGTGTTACATAAGAGATCACAAAAGAAATGCTTCGTTATCAAATGTATCATTATTATTTTCTATTATTGCAAAATATATTAACAAAAACTGCCAAATTTCTTTAGCTTAAATTACTTTTTTTTTTAATCAAATGTCCTATTTCTTTTTAATTAAATTTACTTTTTTAATCAAATTACAATTTTGTAAAAAAACAAACAAAAAAAACCCTCTTTTTTTACTTAAATTATATTTGTAATTTAATTATTAATAAATAAATTATTTAAAATCATTTTTAAATTACATTATTTTAGAAAAATGTTACCTGAATTTAATTACTGATTTAAAAAAAAATGTAAATTAAATTTTTTTAACTAAATTAAAAAATTTAAATACATCTTTGTTTACTTGAATTACATATTTTTTAATTATTAATAAATAATACATTATTAAAAAGAAGTTATTTTTAAATTACAATATTTTAGAAAGACTTCATGAACAAAACAATATGTAATATTTGGATGAAAGATTACAAAAGACAAATATTTTATATAATGAGCCCTGATGAATCATGCACAACAGGACAGTTTACATGCATTATAAAGTAAACAGGGTCCATTTCAATTTCATGCTGACTGGGATACTTGGATAAGTGTATTTATAATTTGGATGTAAAACATTCTGTCCCACAGTTCTTTGAAATTTAATTTTCATATGTCCAGAAATGCCAGAAGCAACATTTTCATCTGGGAAAAATAGCCTATGTTTATGCCACTGAGCATTTTTCCCAAATAAACAAATGCATTATGAGTCAAAATAACAGTGAAGCGAAGCCAATTTCTCCATCTAGACCCAAACACTCTCTAGACGCTTATGCAAGAGCACGTTTCATCACATTCAGTGCTGAGACTCTGAATGATTTACAGATCTCACGAGCATCTACTGTCTTCCAGAGAAATGTGTTCTTGTAATGGGAAGTGATCTTGAGTCCATTTGTCTAGCGCTGTACAGCAGGTGGGCTCCATTCACACTCTCCTGTTTGATTTCTTGGGAAAGTGTTCAATGCTGGCGTCCCGTGACAGCATTGGTTGCTAGGCACTGAGTGATGAAAGATGCATGACTGCTTCTCCAGCACAGAGTACTTTTCTTTAGAACTCAGCAGAGTCAAAACAGAGTCAAAAAACATGGCAAGGTCTTTATCACACTTCACTGCACTGTTCTGCCCTTGTGCTTAAATGAGTAGTTCAAGATGAGTAAATTTGCTCATGTTGTTCCAAACCCATATGACTTCCTTTCTTCCATGGAAAACAAAAATAGTAGTTTATTTAGCAGGTGTTCATTTCTATACAATGACGGTAAATAAATAAAGTATAAATAAATAAGCAAATAATTAAATAAATGAAATGAAGTCAAACAGATGTGGAACGACATGAGGGTGTGTAAATCTAAATATTTTACTATACCATGATAAAATAAAATAAAATAAAATGTTTGGAAGGACATGAGCAAATAAATATAACTTTCATTTTAGGTGAATACTTTTGTTTTTAAATACTAAAATAATTAATTCAAAGAAACAAAGTCAAATATATCTGGAATGACATGAGGGAGCGTACATGAAGATAATTTATGAAAAAAAAAAAAAGAAATTTGAAAGGAGATGAGCATGAATAAATAAATATAACTTTCGTTTTAGGGTGAACTAATAATTTTAGGGTGAAGATCATTTTTGATTTAATTAAGGTGAATAAAAAATTTATTATTTCAAAAGTAATAAAATAATTAATTAAACGAAAGTCAAACATATCTGGAATGACATGAGATAGACTAAATGCAAAAAAATAAAAAATAAAATAAAAAAATAAAATGAAATTAAATAATGTTGTACCAAGATCCTTGATAAAATCAAACCTTTGTGTTAAAGGAAAGCACAGCAGAATGTCAGACTAAAGTGTGCTCAAAACAGCAGGCCAATAAGACCAGCATGCATCACTCAGGCCACGGTCAGTGAGGCAGTGCGGTCACGCAAACGTACCTGCCGTGGCACTCTGACTCATGGGTGGAGGGGCTGAAGTGGGATGTGATTGGATCTGCCTGGTTTTCTACACTGCATTTCCTGCCCAGCGGAACATAAAACAATGAGTTGGTTACCTTTTGGATGGGCGGCAGTCGTTTGCTCTCCCTGTGAACCGCGTCCAATGTTTCGATGTGCATCTGAACGATATCTAAAAGACAAACACAATAGCATACTAACATTTAAAAAATTATGATTAAAAGACCAATTTTGCACTATGCATACACATTCTGGTGGCTTCAATGTCAGGTTAAATCTCTAGAACTTTTACCGGGTATCATTGTGTGAAGGGCCTTCAGGTGTTCGTTGGTCACGCCGCTCTCGTTGCACACTTTGTCAACAAAGCGGTTGATGAACCGAACGACAGAGTTCGCAACATCCGAGCTCTCAGCATCCTCAAAGCCACTCTCTGTGTCGTAGCTTTCTGCCATGCTGCCCGCAATACTGAACGAACAAAAAACTAAATTAGTGGTCAATTTTGTTCAACTTTATTTTATTTAACTTTTTATTGCATTGCATCAAACCATGTGTTTTTGTGCCCACACACAGCAGCACACACCTGTTGGTGACGTAGCTGTTGCTGACGCTCTCCACGTCTCCCAGGCCAGTGTTGCGGAGCAGGCGGTTCTTGCTGGTGTCGAGTGGCAGCAGCAGGTAGCTCATGCGGTTGGCATAGTGGATGGCCTGACTGAAAACCGTGCTCTCTTCCTTCTGAACGCGCTCCTGCTGCTGCTCTTTGCTCAGCGTGGGCCACAGACGACTCTGCTCAGACGCCAACTCCAGGGCGCTCAGCTGCTTCTGAATAAAAATTAAAAAAGAACATACACTAGTGTTTAAAAGTTTGGGGCTGGTGTTATTTGATCAAAAATACAGCAAAAATGGTCATATAGTGAAATATTACTACAACTTAAAATAAGTTTTCTATTTTAAAATATTTTAAAATGTAATCTATTCCTGTGATCAAAGCTGAATTTTAAGCATCATTATTCCCGTCTTCAGTGTCACATGATCCTTCAGAAATCTTTCCAATATGCTTAAAATAAAATTTAATTTAATTAAATAAAAAATAATAAAATAAAATAAAAATAATAATAATAATAATAATAAAAAAATTAAAAAAAATTAAATAAAAAATAAATAAAATAAAATAAAATAAATAAAATAAAATAAAATAAAATAAAATAGCTTACAGGGCTGGATGTGTCTCCCTCCTCGCCGTTCTCCAGGTACAGGGCCCGGATGTGTTTCTGAACATCACTGTAAAACATGGCCTCCCAGAACTGCATGTTCGTCCACACCATGTGCTCCTGAACGCAGCTGTAGGCGAATTGAGTGATGCCTCCACCCAGTTTCTGTAACAAAAACAGATGCTGGAAATTCACACGCTGAACTCAGAGAAAAGCCCACCCTTTATCCAGTACTTTATTACAACAGACATGCAATCAGTCATCATTATTGAACTTCTCAAATCAGTCAAATATGTCCACGTAGTCATTCATTACCAAAAAATAAGCTGGGTACATTATCCTACTTATTAGATATAGATAGGTATCTACCAAATAAATAAATAAACAAACATGAAATATTTATTTGAATTGAACTTATTTTACTTAAGCTCCACTTAGATTAAAGCTAAGCAACAATCCCAATACAGCAAAATAATTACATTTTATACATATGTGTGTGTGTGTGTTTTACATTATTAATCTGCAATCCGTTACTTCTTTTATGAACTAGTTAGTTAACATATTTAGTTGCAATACAACAAGTCCTCCTCTATTTGAAATGCTCTCTCTTCTTCATCTTCTTGTCTCTTACAGATTCCCTGTTCTTCTTAGCAATGCTGATGTATTTCTTTAACTTAACTCTTGTGCTTCTAGAAAAAAAATATAGTACACCTACAAACACTCATTCACATCTTCACTCACCCGACAAAAGGCGGTGACCAATGGCAGCAGGGCAGCAGCAATACCATGTTCATCCATATGTGAGCAATCCTGAAAATAAAAATAGAAGCATTTGCACATCAAAACATTTGAATGACACTATTTATGGAGTTATATGATGATAACATAATCAACAGCAATCATAAACTAAACCCAAACATCATATTTTCCACTTCCTTATTGCAGCACAACATTCTCATAAACACTCTGTTACTGATTGCTTGAAAGAAGACAGTTCTGTGTTTTACCTGCAGGGTGCAGTTCATCATGCGGACGATGTAGTCAAACTGTTGGTCGTCTAGAACGGCCCTGTTCTGCAGCACGTGCAGGTTGAGCTCCTGGGTCAGACAGACGCGCGCCGCCCGACCTTTCAGAGCCCGTAACACTGCCGGCATTAACTGCAGACACACACACAAACAAGTTAAAACACACCCATATACACAAAGATACACTAATTTGAGATCATAAATGCTTTAGCAGAAACATACACCATAAATCTGGGTTATGTTTAACAGAAAAGCATAAATAAGAGGTACGTACCTTCTTGGCTTCCAGCATCTTGTTGTCGAAAATGTATGTGATGCAGTTCCTGACCACCTCTAACCTCCTGGCGCTGTTGGCCAGAACATTCCCGTTCCTGTCCACTATGTCAGCTAGAAGCAGTTCGGAGACATAAAAACATGACGATTATGAAGATCAACACAAAGTTGTGCACACATCAGTTAGAGTATGACAAGTTTATTTGAATGTTATATTTGAGCACAGGAGGTGATGTTTGCTACATCTTGGGTTTTTTATTTTTTCCCAAATTCTATTTGATTTTTTTTCCAAATTCCATTTTTTCCAAAAACAATAATTTTCCTGTATAGTTTTTTTCCCCTCCATTTAAATTTTTCTAGACTCTGTCTAGAATTTTATTAATCAAAAAGCATGTCTAATTAATTGAAATCGTGAAAATTACACAATTTAACAGCAATTTATAAGTTTAACAAAAATTACATTTAAGGTCCTAAGAAAATTTTTTTTTCTCAAATTGAGTTTTATTTTTAACAAATTTTGTGTTTTCCATTAATTTTCTGGATTCCATTTTAATGGTTTCATTAAATTTTAATAATCAAAAGCATCTCTAAATAATTGATTTGATAAAAAAAAATGTATTATTATTTTCTTTCTTTCTTTTTTCTCCACAAATCCTGTGCAGTGTGTTTACATTTTTCTGGGAAATCAATTCTGGTAAATAATTCTTCTGGTAAATATTCCTTAAAAATGTTTAATAATAATTTTATTAGTAGTAGTAGTACTATCATTACATTAAGTAATATATTTTTGTCACAGTTTCTTCAAGTTAAACCGAACTTTTATGATGGGTTGTTGTGAAGACCTTTAAGTTTCTCTGTTTATATGATATGACGATAGTTTTTTCCTCAAAAGAAACGGCAAAATCCTCATTAAGTGACTCTCAGAGCAGTTCTAGAGATTATGTTCATGTGTTCATGTATTGATATATTGAGGCGGCAGAGGCTGATAACACCGTGAGCATCACGCACGCTTCACGTGTGTAGTAAACAAAACCGTGCGTCTGCGCCATTCATTCACACAGAGACATGCAGAACATACAGGCTTAATATTTATATAGGGTTTTTGAGGCCTAAAATTCACAGACACTAGTCTATATTGCATTTTGATTTAATTGCACTGACCTACTTTTAAATTATTTATCCAAAATTTGGCAAATTCCATGTTATTCAGTATATTCAATTTTTATGACTGGATTCCGCGTCATAAATGTTTTTTCACATCACGGAAATCATAGGGCCCTATACATCAGAATTGCAATCTCACCCAGTGGAGGTCCTGTCGGGACCATGCCCTTCAGTTCGGCCTTAACCACAGGTGGGGCGGTTTTGAGTTTTGCCGCTGCGTGGTCTATAAAGAGCTGCACGGAGACCTCGTCCAGGTGCGGGAAAGAGGTCTGTGGGAGCCGGGGTTGTGCGTTTTCAGCTGTTCTCTGAACTCGGTGCATGGTTACTGCTGGGTATGGGTTTTCCTTTGGAAAAAATAAATGGAGAGACAATTTGTGTTTAAGAGACAAAATTACAAACGAAATTATGGAAAATCGGGATGCACAGATATTATCATATATTTTCTTGTATTATAATGCTATAATATAATTTTATGCATATATTTATGTTTTAAAATTAATAGCACTAAATAGAAGTTTAACGCAAAACATTAAAATTTTAAATGTTTTAATTTTAAATTTGCAAATGAATTTAAGCATCACAACATTGTGATCTACCTATGGTAAATTAATTTTCATTAAGTTTATTGAGGCAAAAGTCGTAGTTAGTGGTTTGTTAATAGCGAGAATTGGACCTTAAAATAAAGTGTGACCTTAATATTTTCAAAGATTAACATTACAGGAACAGTCCACACAAAAAAAGACGAAAACTAGTCATACCAAACCAGCATGACAAAAGTCGATAAAAGCAGATATTTTTAAGAATGCTAAATGGTTGGTTTCAGTTCCAATTGACTTCTACTGTATTTTTTTGTCCATAACATAGAAGTCAATGGGAACAGAAACTGTTTGGTTACCAAAAATCTATATATTTTTTTTGTTTCACAGAAGCAAGCCAGCCATACAGATTCCCTTTAAGTGAGAGTTAGACAACAGAAAAAAAAACATTAATATTGGTTAATAACCTATATTGTACTGATATATAGTGCATCACTAACTGCAAATATTCTTTATTTTAGTTAAAAATAAAAGTTTGGGGGAAAAATAACAGTAAAAGTGCTAGGATCTGCACTTGTATTTTAAATACCCAATTTTGATGTGGAAAGGATGTGCATCATGTGACACAGCTGATAAGACACATGAATTAAACGTACATTTCTGAAAAGCTGCTCAGCCAGCTCCTTAATGTGTTTCATCACTTTGTGAGGATCTCCTGTCTCCTGTCGAATGCGCTCCACCTGATTGGCTATAAGCTACGATGAAAGGAAATAAGAGAGAAAGGATCAGAAAGCTTGATAAACACAAAAAGAAGGCATCCTTCTCAATTTCCTATAAGCTGTCAGCTATATCCATCCAACACCTATGACTTACATCGTCAAACAGGTCTGTGGCTCGGTACGGAGGACCCCGCTCAGACACAAACCCAGCAAAGGCCATGCCGTCGAGCACCTTCATCAAGAAGTCATCCTCAGCTAGTGCTCTCTGCCCCAAAAATGCAGCCTTGAGAGAAAACAACAAGCTTTAAAGGGCTGTCCATGACTTTGTTTTAGCGTTTGTGTCTGAACTTGAATTTTAGGGCTCTTCGGTACCTTATGGAAGCGTATGACGGGTTCAGGGTGGATGCGAATTATATGCAGACACCATCGATAGCCCTGAAAGAGATGTGCGAACAGCCACAGGAAGACAGCGCGGATCTCCTTATCCTGCAGCGCACACAAAACAATGACACTCTCGTAAAACAATCACTTCCTGCAATGTCACGTCCACCTGAACAGTTTCAGTGTCAATAAAAAAACATTTGCATTTCTAAATGTGATGTCAGATGCTGGCGATTACTCAAGGAAGGAGGAAAAACATATTTACAGATTAAAAAGAGATTTACAACGAATTTTACCTGAATTTTAAGTGTGGCTAGTTGAACGGAAGATGGAGGAAAAGCATGATCAGCCACTTCCAGCTCTGGATCGAGAACCTTCATCAAACAAAACATACACATACATCAAGATAACAGTACAGTACACTACTTAATTGCCCACTATATACATCTAGTCACTGATAAGAAGTGACACCGATGCTGACAAATTTTCTTTTAAGAAAATAACCCAAGTAAACAATACAAATAATGATGGATTCAAATATTTGCTCTAGCTTCGATTCTTTGTTAGATGATTCAACACATGAAATGGACTTTGGTCATAATTTGCTTCCGATATGATTATTTTGTTCATAAACATGCTGAAGGTACAAAGCTAAATGTTTCATTTGAGTTTTAAGTAGATTAGTGATCAGGATACAGTCCTATTTTAGTATTATTTATGAAGCAGTATAGTGTTTATTCATATTTTAAGTTATCTATTTAATGTTTTCATTTTAACTTTTTATTTTTTAGCAATTGTGTTACGTGCTTTGACATGTTTATTTGTTTTGGTAAAATATTTTTATTGTTCTTCTAATAATTTTTTATATAATTTTATTTCAGTTTTAGCAACTTTGGCAGCCAAGACAACATTTCAAAGGTTTTTTCTTTTTTTCATGTAATATTTATATTTTATTTTATCTCAGCTTTATTTAAATTAACACAAACAAACAATTTTTAATAAGTTATAGATTTACTTCCTTTAACAATAACAACACTGTCTGGATATGGTGGATTTTCATACTTTGAATACCATATGAACTAGGGATGCACCGATACCACTTTTTCCAGTACTCGCCCGATACCGATACTTTTATTTTTGGTACTTGCCGATACCAAGTACAGATACCAATATTTTCATTGCATTTGTAAATTTTTTACATATTGGGTACAGAAACCAAAAGATTATGTATAATGTTAGTTGGTTAACTTCATTTATCAAATAGATACAGTCAAACCAAAATTTATTCAGACACCTTCAACATTTCTCACATTATCACAGTTTATTCGCTATAGTTTAGAAAATGGTAATAAAATATGACAAGAACTCAGAGTTAAACTGTGTCAGAACAAATTCAGCTTGATAATGTCAGATAACTCTGATAGAAAGGTATGTAATGGATTACAATCAACCAAGAATTATTCATACAGCTGTCAATATTTACACAACTATCAATACTTTGTCGGGTGACCCTTAGCCTTAATGACAGCCTGTAGTCTCCTGGGCATGCTGTCAACCAGGTTCATGCAAACCTGAACTTCAATTTTTTCCCAGACTCGGTCTGAATAATTTTTGGTTTATTGTAATCCATTACATACCTTTCTATCAGAGTTATCTGACATTATCAAGCTGAATTTGTTCTGACACAGTTTAACTCTGAGTTCTTGTCATATTTTATTACCATTTTCTAAACTATAGCGAATAAACTGTGATAATGTGAGAAATGTTGAAGGTGTCTGAATAAATTTTGGTTTGACTGTATATCCTTCTGTTATTTTCACACTTAATTATGCCCATTAAAATGTATTTTACATATTTTTGGTACTTTCACTGTTCATTGTTTTTCTCTCTATGGTAGCCTACATCATCTTTAATTTAATAGCATTAGAGCTGCTCCATTGCAGCGGCTTAGTACTGTAATCACGCAATTTGCTGTAAAAATGCAGGGAACCACTCGCTATAAATCTTCTAACTGTGATATTTTCATAAATAGAAGTCGCGTTTTTTCATCTGCAACGTGCAGCGATTTATTTTCCAAAGCCACTCATATAATGCAGAAACACTCATGAAGCAAGCAAAACGCGCACTGCGCACACGTATTTGTAGGCTTCTGGTGCAGAATGAGAGGGACAAGTACAGTACAGCCTTGCGCATTTCACACAGGCTGTTAGTTTCACTTTCGCCACAAAGTCGTGTATGTTTAATGGTGAAAATAAATGACGTTTATAGTGAATGCCCCTATAAATGTAACTTGTGCATTGTTTTACTTACTTCTTTTTGACATATCCGACCGAACTACAAACTTTCCAGTGATGTCTGTGAACAGGGATATTCACTCGACAAGCTCGCGCAACTGCGCCGCCGCAAGCTCAATCCACTCAGCGTGCTTTGCTTATCAACTCGCGCACATCAGCTATACAGGCGTTAATACTGAATGGTTTACGTTATATTCATTGCATACATATACTTCGTAGAAATCTTTAATCTCTAATAACTCCATTCTGCTGTCTGTTGTCGGTGTTTCTTTGTCTGAATATGGCACTTATCACATGCTGTGTGGTATCGGCGTTTGGTATCGGGGCATTTTAACGAGTACGAGTACAGGAGCTCAGTATCGGGCCCGATACTGATACCAGTATCGGTATCGGTGCATTCCTAATATGAACATAATTCATTTTTATACTATTACAACAACTGAAAAATATTTTTATAGTCAATTATTTAATTCTGTAATGAATGCACTGAATTTTCATTGGTGCATCACACATTTTTACACCCCAACTTACAATGCCACCATTTTAAGCTTCAAGTCATAAATCAGTTTAATGTGACAAAGCAGCAATAAATCACATATCTTCCTTGTTATTCTGAGTTTCTGTCAAGCCACAAAACCATTTTTATTTCGTCGGTGGTTTGGTTTCGCTACATTTGTATCCCAAAGTCAAATCTAACTGGCCCAAAATCCTACTCCACAGAACTGTATTTAAACATCAAACACGTTCTGATTGACTGCGCTTGTCACTTTGTGCAGTAAATCACTTTTAGTGACGACAGAAAAATACTTGTCTTTATAACGCGACTGTATCCGAATCTGGCTCATCTGTGCACACGAGCGCTTCTGTAATTACAGAAAGCTGGAGCTAATAACAAAACTCACTTAGCTAATTGAAAAGGTAGAGGATTAGGCACAGGACATAAACTAAAGACGGCAGTTGCCTACACAACTATCAGAAGCATCTTTAACCTTATGATAAAGAGCACTGAGGATCAGGAAAGAGAAAACGAAGAAACCCCGCGTTTTCCAGGCAATTAAACAGATGAAATGGGTTTATTACTGAGGCATGGCCCGATTATCATCTATCCCTGAGGGGATGCGGTTATGTGAGCCCTGCTCGCTCAAACATGCATATGCAACCTCAGCCTCTGCCACTTCTGCCGGGATGGTCTGTCTGCCTTGGCGCCACAGACGTTCATTTCAGAGAGACAGCAGTGACTGTGGGACTCTGGGCTTGTTTCCAGGGGGGCAAAATGTGAATGCCACACACATGGACCTTTCTGTGCCAATTTAGATCTAATCTAAACAAACACAGACAGACAACCGGACACTTTTAGGTATGAGCACAGAACGGAAAAACCCTATTCACTGTCATTTTCCTGAAAAGAAAAACAACTTCCTTGCAGAACAGATCTAGGCATGAAAGTGACTGTAAAATTTAAAAGGAAGTTTTTCATTTGTTAGCATTAAACTGGAATTAAATGTGATAATCCTGCTTGGAAATGTCTATTTGCCAGAGCCAGAATAAAAAGTGGGGAAATTAAAGAGAAAAATTGAACAACTAAATTGTATATCAGCTGATATATAGCGAATAAAAAAACAAAAAACAAATGGTACTAATTAGGCATACATAATTTTGTACTATACCAGTTATCAGACAAAATTAAGAGATTTTTTTCATTTATTGGTATCAGTAAATAAAAAAATAAATGTATCATTTAATAACTAATGATTAAAAAAAAAGCCTCTTAACAGCCAATAATATTGTACATATTAAAGATTTACAATATAGCTGCAACATATCAGTTATTAGTCAATATTAAAGTTTTTTTTAAAAACTAGCAGTAAATGACAGAATGAATGAATAAATAAATAAATAAATATGATTTGAATAAATAAACATAAAAATCTGGTTCTAATTAGGGATGCACAATATATCAGTAACATATCAGTTTTCAGTCAATAATAAAAAATAAAAAAATTTGTTTGGTTAATGTTGTTATACTGATATTTTTAGAGAATTTTCAGTATCAGTATATTTAAAAAAAATAAATAAATAAAAATTATTAGAATTTAACACATTTTTTTTTTAAATAATAAAATATTCACTGATATCAGCGGATAACCAGTTTGCATCTCTATGAAAAAACTTTATCATATTATGCCTGGTTAGGACAATGTGTAATAATTTACACGTTTCTAAATTTAGATTCCCAAGGATAAAATGCCTTTAAATATCATTATATTGATTGAGAAATTAGTAGTCAAATGTTTTATGGATTCTCAACAAGAACTTCTTTTTTTTTTTTTTTTATAGAATATTGCCCTATAATTGCAACTACTTAAAACCACTATAAAGGTGCCTGTAAAATCACTATCAGCACTATAATCTTACTCACAGTACAGTGAGTGTAACTTAAACAAGGAAGTACGCGTGGTTGAGTAATGTCTGCCGAGAATCATTTAACTACCGCTGGCACAAAACCTCATTATGATAAATATTTGTGTTTTTATAGCCCCAATCCATCCATTATACCTACAACACTTTCTCGATCTGTGCTGCGGTTTGTCGAATTAGCGATGACATTTTTAACTCTGCCAGTAATTACTCAAACTTGAGACTGGCATACATCCGCCAAACGGGTAAAACGGGTCGGTTACCATTGAGATGACGGTCTGTGTGTGATGAAGAAGTGGCTCGGGCAGCAGGGATATGTGGACACACTCAGGAATGGTGACCGTCCCTCCATCCAGGTCTGCAATGATTACATCGAGCTGTAAATAAAACACAGGAACATGGATGTAAATATGGACCCTTATTGTTCTATATGGGCAGATGCAGAAATATGCATAACATCAACTCATATTTCAAAAACAGGAAACTGAGCGACTCTTTAAGACAAGACCAAACTGGTTAACTCTGATGCACATAAGAGCAGATTCAGCCTTTTGTGACAAAAAAGTTAGCGAATGAGACCTCCTTCGAAAGTATCTTTTGTTTAAATTTCTGACTAAAGGAGCGTTCGGGTCCAAACTAAGTGACCTGAGGTCAAGTATCATTCCCTGGTATCAAGTATCATTCTCTCATCTGAACTCAAGTCATCACATGTAAATGTTCAAGGATGTTCGACTTTTTCTTGTAAACTAAGCTAACCAAGGTAATAACAGTCTAGTAGGTGTAATTGTTAGAGTAAATGCCTATTATTACAGCATTTGGCGGTACAAAAAAACAGCAGGTGATATATGTTCAACAAGATAAACGTCATAAAAATGGGTCAGGAATTTCCCATTGAAAGGCTTTATTACCATAAGGATGAAACTGAAAAAAAAAACCTGATAAAATGCAACCCTATCACATGAACTTTGATAAAAATCTATGATAATTAAGCGTTTATGTTAAATAAACTGTTTGGCCATAACTTTTTTTTAAAAATGGGTCGGAGGTCTGATGCTAAATCCAGACAATAAATTGCAACCAAATATATAATCAGGCAAAATTAACAGACTTATACACTTTCAAAAAAGGGCAAAAACTAGTTGAGATGCACCAAGATAAAGCAAATCAGGTGTATGAGGGCACATGTGTTCTTGCATCTGATCTCATGTTGTGCATTGCATGGAACGCTTTTGTTACACTTGTTTCATCTTGCACTACAGTATATGGCAGATATCTGATCAAACCTTATCTCAAAAGTCTAAATTTCTCGAAGTGTGTTGCATTAATGTTCTCCGGGTCACGGCATGATAAAAAAAATAAATAAGAGACATCTCACCAGCTCCTGGGTCTCTGAGCGGAAGTGTGAGTTGACTCCTATGATGAAGGGCGTCGGAGTGCTGAGCACCTCCAGCAGCTTTCCCGGTAAGATGGGAACATATGTAAAACTGGAGAGGGGAAATAAAATCATGGGGGAGGTTGAAATGATGATTAAAATGAGGAAAAATGGGAACAATAAATGGAAAAACAGAACTGGATGATCTCTCCAAAAAAAGATGTTTTTTAACAAGAAATAATAAAGGGGATGCAATAAGTTTTGTTTCTGTTTTTAATTGGTATTATTTTTTTCATTTTAATGCTTTCGTATTTTATATTTTTATGTTAAAAGTAGACAACAATACATAACAACAACATTGTTATTGTTGTTATTACAGTAACAATGGCAAATAAAATTCTTCATTTTATCAAATGATCATAATCACATCTATTCATTTTACAATCCTGCTACTAGCATTTTATTCAGATTAAATCCCCTTTAAATCGGGTGAGAAAGCGGTTTTTTTTTTTTTTGAGTAACTTCTGCACATCCTGTCATGCCGGGCTGCATAGATGCATTTTGCAGCATTAAGGTTAACGATTAATCGATTAATTGATCGTTAATTTAAACGACGATCCATCATGGAAATGATCGAAAATTGACATCCTTAGTAGCAACAACAACGAAAAATAATAACAATACCTCATTTTATAATAATAAATGATACTACTAATAATCATTATAATAGTTAATAAAAATAATAATATTAATAACAATGAAAAATAACAATAAAATTTTTTTCATTGTTTTTATTATTAGTAATAGTAATAATAAACTATTATCTTCATTAGAAACAATAATAATATTAAGTTGCTGTTATTATTAATTATTATTATTATTACAGTAACAATGACAAATAAAAATAAAATATTTAATTATTATATTAGTTATTAGCAGTAATAGTAGTATTAGTAACGAGAAAATAATAATAAAATGATCAATATCATTAATAATTATTATTATTAGTTATTAGCAGTAACAGTAGTATTAGTAACAAGAAAATAATAATAAAATAATCAATACCATTAATAATTATTATTATTGTTAACATTCATAATAATAATAATAAAAAACTCATTTTATAATAATACATGACACTGCTAATAATTATTATAATGGTTAATAATAATATTAATAATAATGAAAAATAATAATAAAATAATGATAATTTTCATTGATGTTATTGTTGTTGTTATTAATAATAGTAATAATAATACTGATTGTTATTTTTATAATAAGAAACGACAATAATATTAAGTTGCTGTTTTTATTATTATTGTTATTATTATTAAATTGTAAATTATTAATTATTCTAAAATCAACCAGAAATGTACATTTCACCTTTTATTTAAATTAAATGTATTCAAAACTTTTTCAAACAAGCAATCATTAAGCAGCAAACAAATTCGGCGCCAACATATGATCCCTCTTCACCTGTATTTGAGTGGGAACATGATGGCCAGGAGAGCTCGGCAGGCATCCGTTAAACGCTGGTAACTGCTGGAGAGGAACAGGATCTTGTGCTCCGTCAGAGCAGCGCAGAACAGACAGAGAACATTCACGATTCCTGCAGAGAGAGAGAGAGAGAGAGAGAGAGAGAGAGAGAGAGGTCAGCTGAGCCTAAAAATATCAGACCCACTTCCTCTGTTATTTATTTAACAACACAAGGTGGAGATTACACCAACCACATCTGACACTTGACACCAACTGTTGCTGTTTTAATGAAGCTGATTTGCTGTTTAGCACCTAAGCCTGCTGCTGATTGGCTTACCAAGCTGTCTGAAAAGCTGGGCCACGCTGCAGCCGCTCACAGGCAGGGAGTCGTTTATGGGCATCTGGATAACCTGCCTGTCGCCCGCGCCGAGCGTAATGGTCCTCTGTAAGAGGAAAGGGAAGAGAGATCGGGAGATGACAAGAGAAATGAAAATTAGTTTTAACACCTTCTAACACCTCCACCACGGCATTATGGGAAAGATTAATGTGTGCGCGGCAGGCTGGCCATGGGATGAGCTAAAGACAGGAGGTTATTTAATAGAAAAAAAGGAACTCGAAGCCATTCACCATTTATAAAAAGCACCCAAGAGAAAACAACATAGGTTTTTTGGCATTTTCACATCTATTTCCTGTTATAAAAAAAAGTCACCTTTACATTCAGTGCTTTTTTGTGATAGTTACAGATGAAAAAGTTTAAAATAATCAGGTTGAGGATGAAAATTTGCTGTTAAGAATTTCAGAAAGAATCTCAGAATCACAAAATATTAACTTCCAGGAGTATAAGGTGAATAATACAATGTTTTACATTATAAATATAAGGTACGCTCATACAAAAATGTTATAATTAGTGTAAATACCATGACAAAACATTATCAAATATTAGCTGGAAATTATAAGATGGTAAACAATCAGCAAAATCAGCAGTTCTAATTAGTCAAGGATCATCCACGTAACCAAACGGATACTTTTGTTTATGCCCATTTTAGGGCAGTTAATTCAGGTGGAGGTGAGGTCAGTAATGGCGCTTTTCCACTGCGTGGTACAACTCGGCTTGGCACGGCTCAGAACGGTGCGACACGGCTCGGTTTGCGTTTCCACTGCAGTTCAACTTGGAACCTCACTCGAGGTGGTACTTAAAAAAGTACCAGGTACTGTACCCAGTGGAAAACCCCCCAAAAGTGAACCCTACCGAGCCGTACCATGCAGTGGAAAAGCGCCATAAGTGTCAAGAAACCAGTCCTTTTAGAGTAAAAGTCAGGACAGGAAATAAAGAGGCGGCTGTAAAATGACAGCAGGGTGTGATGTTATCACTTCAAACACAGCCACAGCACACAAGCGTTTAACAGCCTTGCATGAGAGCGGGTGCACATTACACACTCTCATAAAATGCTTGCTGTAATGAAACCTCATGACAGGCCCAATCTAAAGCGATAACGTATGCAACTGCACAGGAGAGTCATTTGCAATCATGCATTCATCATGATCAAGATAATGACAATCATTGTGCACTTGAAATTCCCTTCCAACTATGGGAATTTTAAGTGAATACAGAAATGCCATGCAATGTGTGTGTGTGTGTGTGTGTGCATATATATATACACACATTTTATGGAGTTTGAACTGTTATTTTAAACATTAAAATGTTTAAAACAAAAATATATTTAAAAATAATAAAAAATAAATTAAAACTGAACTAAAATACAGTAAAATAATATTTTTATACATTACTATTGCATATATTTTAAATTATATTTTATATATTTTAATATTTACTTTTATCTTTAAAATATATAAAATGTACAAATAAAAAATAAAATAAAATAATTACAAAGTACAGTATTACTCCTATTTTATATAATATTTATATCTTAACATTTTTAAAACTGAAAATAAATATTAATAAAATGTATTTAATTATTTCAATCAAAGGACTCGCTTTGCTTAATGTACAGCTGTTAAAACGAAACAAAAAATCTAAAGGGGACAAAAAAAATCCATTAAATTAATCAGCCTCATTAGTTGACCATCCTGGGCTGCATTTCCCAAAAGCATTGTAAGTCTAAATGAACTGCAGAAGCTTAAAAGCTACTGGCATTGATAGTCATTATGATCAACTTTAAGCTTACAATGCTTCTGGGAAACACAGCCCTGATGCTTTACTAATAACTGTGCACGTTAGTACAATGTTTCCAGGCCTCCACAGCCTTGATCTTGAGCTAGTGCATGCCTTCAACCACAGCAACTGGAGAGGAGTGACGCTGGAAAACTGGACATTTTCATACCAAGTTTTGACCCAATCAGTGATTAAACAACAAGTTAGTCACATACTGGATCAATTTTGATCATAATTTCTGTCATCTAATTGATTCCCCTGATGTTGAGTGTGTGGAGCAAAACGAAGGGGATAGCAGGATTGACAGTGAGAGAAAGAGCTGAACGAAATCAAACAGGGCGTACCGAGCTCTCCTCTCTGTCGTCCTGGCCCGGCTAGATTAACACACAGCAACACAAAACACAAACCATTAAACACATTACAAACAAAATTTACAGACATTACAATATAAAAAAAAAGAGAAATTGCAAAAAGCAAACAAGGAAATACATGACAAGATGCAAAACACAAGGTTGTGATGATAAAACATAGCTGTGAGGGCAAGGGTCAGAGAATTATGAAAATACGGCTGGCATATAAACAGGTAAAACCCTTCCTGAAATAGAAAGTGAGGTCTGGGAAACTCTGACTTGCGTAACAGATTAGATATTACATTGATGACTTCTGGTATGGTCGTATTGATATGGATTATCTTGCAATTGAGTTTTAGTTGGCATTGCAGTCAAGGGTCAGGGACAGTAAAACATGCCCTTCAGGAAGTCCAAAATAATGAAGACTCAATGGATTCTCAGCACTGCTGCAGAAAAAAAAAATCCCCCTTGTGCACACGCAGACTTTTGACCAAGTCACACCTGACTCACCAATTAATTGGCTGAGACTTTTATTAAAGCCAGGCATGTTTGATATTTTACAGTGAGTTTTAGCACTGTCAGAAAATCTGCATATTTAAGGCAAAGAAAGAAAGAAATGTACATTTAAAATTTAAAAACTTAACATTTAAATGTAAGACCTACTAAGCAAAATAATAATAACATTAATACAATAAATAATTACATATTAAGTGACCAAATTATTGTATTATTGAGTAATGAATGGTGATTAGGGATAATAAAAATTACATTTAAATATTATAAATAAAAAAAACTTTTTTCCAAGTCTTGCAATGATGTTTGATATTATTATATGGCTAAAAATATGGCTAATCCATAATATGGCCAAAATGATTGCAAGTAGATCATGAGATAAATCTTTAAATCAATAACTAAATTACAGCAAAAAATATTTTATATAAATATATTCAATGATTTGTATATATTAATTCTTATGTATTTAATCTTTAATTTATCTTTAAAATGTACAAATGAAAGAAAGATAATATAAAATTAGATTATTTAGGATATTTAAAAAAAAAAAAAAACGTTTTATATATTAATATTTATGATTATTAGAAACATCACATTTTTCTATATCCAGATGGTGATTAGGGCTAATAAAAATTAAATATAAATATTATGAGTCACTTTTTCCCCCCATGTCTTGCAATTATGTTTGATATTATTGTATGGCTAAAAAGGTAATGTTTTTCTACCGAACCATAATATGGCCTAAATTATTGCAAGTAGATTGTGAGATAAATCTTCAAGTCAATAACTAAAATACAGCAAAAATACTTCCTATAAAATAGGATGATTATTTAGAATATTTGAAAAAAAACGTATTTATTTATTATTATTAGAAACATCATTTTTTAAATATGTGTGAATAATCTTGTAATTCTGAACAATGAATTTAAGACATATTACTTTAATGACCTTGCAACATAAAGAAACATATATATAGTTATATTTATTAATATATAAATAAATATAGTTCCATTTATTTTTAATGACCAAAAAATCTTCTGCTCTGTTATATGCTCAACTATAGGGCATTAAAAAAATTAACATCTGCATCTAATAACAGCCTAAGAGATGGTTAATTCAATCAGAAACTGATTCAGAACAATACATCATCATCTAATCAACCTAATTTTCAAATGGAAAGTTTTAACATGATATGTTATACACAAAACACTCCCTTTCCAATGCACACAAGATAAGCAAAACAATCAAGCACTGAAGCTGTAGTATGTTGTTTTGCGTGTTTCTAAGGCTGTCATTCATACACGCTGCAGTGTGCTTAGACACCATCTGCCACCGTCCCAGCCCATATGTTCAGTCCACGCCAACCAGGCCCAGGACACAAACACCGGCACCATAAGCCTCTGTGTGTAAGCGTGTGTGTGTGTGTGTGTGTGTGTGTGTGTGTGTGTGTGAGGAGGTGCTTAAGTGTTTATCTGTGCACTGTCCCATAAAATAATCAATAAGCAGATAAAAGAAACTGCCACCAAAAAAAATAAATAAATAATGATTGATGCATTTCAGGTGCAACTGATTGCAGCCAAAGAATCAGGAAGGAATAAAGCACAATGTTGATACTCATGAGCAGCAGTGATTTCAAATGACTGAGAAATGCAAAGCATTGATTGATTGATTGATTGATTGATTGATTGATTGTCAGGCATAATCACAAATAGGTTGATTGGTTGAAGCTGCTCGAAGGTAAATGTTACCTGGAAACAACCCAGTAGCCAGTCAGTTAAACTACAAAGAGGGGGGTAATTTATCTGGAACACAAGGGAGTCAGGTTTACACTTCAGGGGAGGGAATCATTTGGTTGTAACACAAAAACCGCACGTCGGCTTGAGAATATGAGAACGTGAGCATGTTATACAGCAACCAATCATACTTAAAGCGATGGTTCACTCAAAAATGAAACTGTCATTTTATTCACACGCATGGCTTGATTTTGTGGAAAACAAAAAGAGAAACTGGCCACTCTTTTTTATATAATGAAAGTGAGTGGGGATTTTACTGTCAAGCTCCAAAAACGAATGATTTTCAGAGAATAAATACTTATTAAATTTAGAAATACTTATTAACACACTAAATTTAGCTCTATCCTTGCATAAAGTGATCATATAACTTCAGAGCACTCAGAATATAGTGCATGTGTCATATACACCACTTTTATGATACTTTTATAGTGTTTGTGTTATTTTGGAAATTAACACCAGAGTTATTACAGTTAATTAAACCATTTGTTTCAACAATTTTTTCTATTTTTCTTGAAATTAAACAAACATTAACTGGAGGCAAACTGTAGCACGTAACGTATAATTGAGACGCGAGCTGGTGTACAGAAGCAAAAATAGTGATACAAGACCTTAAGATCATATATATATATATATATATATATTCCCCCCCACTAAGTTGCTACAGCAACAGTTCTCATTTTCATTTAGTTTAACTTGTTAATTAAAATTGAAATAATAATGAATAACAACAGTATATATTTACCAAAAAAAACTGAAAAAAAATACTACACAAAAATGTTTTATACAAATGACAAATGCATACAACAAAATTACTAAAACTTTAAGTAAAATTAAAATAATATGGAAAATATAAAAATGAAAATTACTTAAAAATATTACTAAAAACTACAATATTATCTCAACGAACACATCTCAAAGTCCCATTCATCTTCATTATAAGGAAAATGAGTAGCCTGGATATTCTTCAAATCATCTTTTTGTGTTTTAGAGAAAAAAGATGATATAAGATTTTAATCATTTCAATGCTCATTAATGAAATTAATTGGTGAAATATCATTATCAACTAGGATTATCTTTATATATGTTAAGTTTAGTACATGGTACATAGTATTCAGGGTCATCAAGTGTCCATTCATTCTGAGACAGATAAGGGAGCATATGAAGTAGGGCTGCGCAAAAAATCGAATGCGATTTTCATGCGCATCTCGTCAGTAAAGGCACTCCTGTGATTAGTAGTAAATCTCCAGCACATGCTTTCAGATGGAGCGGCATTTACTACACAGAGCCGTAGTTCACTGACAACCTACGCAAAATCGCGTTCAAAATCGCAGGTGATTCATTGTCGATTATGAACGCGATTTTGTGTAGCTTGTCAGTGAACTACGGCTCTGTGTAGTAAATGCCGCTCCATCTGAAAGCATGTGCTGGAGATTTACTACTAATCACAGGAGCGCCTTTACTGACGAGATGCGCATGAAAATCGCATTCGATTTTTTGCACAGCCCTAATATGAAGGTTAAGACTAAAGCATCTGTGTCTTCCATAGTAGTGCAAATCTTCCACACTACCCATGATGCATGGAATTACAGCACCATTTACAAACGTGTCTTTAATCTCTGATATCTTCAGAGATAAACACTCATTTATCCATAGATAATGAAGGTCTGTGTTGAAGAGAAGTCCAAAAACAATACATACAGACATTAGATGTTTTTTTTATTAAAACATGGCAGACTGCGAAATTTTCACCTGAGAGCCTCCAGCTATAGGAATGATGCAAGTGAGAAGGTTTCCGATCACCGTTTCCATAGGAACGGTGAGGCCATCCACATGAACGGTGTAGATTAGACTCAAGCAGTTCTGCAAAGTAAAGAGACGCAAGATTGAGTCTAAATAAAGGGAAATCTAATACCATCATATCTTTATTGCTATTTTTGTTTTACTTTTTATAGATTGAGACAGGACAGAAAACGATTATAAGAGGGAAATGGTATCAGGAGAGACCACAGGCTGGATATGAACCTGCATTTCCTGGCTCAACATGACTGGAATTTGTGTAAAACACAAAATCTTGAATTGCATTTATGCAAACTTAGGCAAAATTTGGTTTCCTGTTTAACATCACAAAATCTGTGGATTTTAATGTCACCAAGGTAACTGGCTAACACATGAGAATTTCTCAAAGTTATAAGAATTACTGGGTGCATGGGTGGGTGTTGAGGGGAAAAAAAAGTAAATTAATAGTTTCACCACTGTTTTCCAGCAAAAGTATGTTTCAAATAGCTGCTATGGAGTTACAATATAAATGCACAATTTCCAGCTATTGCTTTTCTTATTTTTTTAATAGTAATTTTTATTTTTTATTTTTTTCGTTTATTAAGATTTAGTATATTTGGATTTTATTTATTATGTTTATTTATTGTTATTTATTATTTAATGCAACTCTTTGAAAACTTGTATTATTTCTTATATAGCACAGTTTTTTTTCCTCGCATAAATAAAATATGTTGCTTTTTGTGATCAGGGTCAGGAAGATAATATAATTTTTTTATTATTTTTTGTAAAGAACATATGAAGACAATTCTACTACTACTACTACTAATAATAATAACAACTAAATTAAAAATATTCATTTTTTAAAATATATAAATTATATTTAGATATTTTTATTTAGATATCTAAAAGAAAATACAGAATTTTTTTTCTGATACATTAAATAAGTTACAATATTGTGAAGGTCCGAGAAAACGGTAGCCTAAAATAATAAAAATCTTACTGCTGAGCCCTGACTTGTTTTAGATTCTGTCACGTGCAACTTTGTGTGTCTCTCTTACCCTAAAAACCTCAGTGTGGTCCAAACGGGACACGAGAACCAGGCTTTTAGGAGCGTATAGTTGAGCGGGCTGGAGCACGTCTGGACTGTCATCTTCATCGGCCTCACTGGGCTCTCCTTTCTGTAGCTCAACACACAAACAACAAATAAAACACCCTCAAGCTACACTTCAAATCACTTAAACATTAGATGGTCGATCTACAAAAGAAGCAATATCTCAACCACCATAATCCATTTTAACACAGCAGTAAATCACCCCACCCATCAGCACCACTGCATCCTATTCTATCATTTCTGCACGTGCTCGGCACACACCTGCGGGTTCTCCACGGACTTCCAGAAGGTGAAGCAGGCGCAGTAATGCCGCTCGGAGTTGATGTCTGTGAGAACCGACACAAAGAAAGACGGAGGCTTTCTCTCTGGAACCAGCTGCCATCCACTGGGCTGACAGAACTGAAAGAGACGCCACACAATTAAAAAGATGGCTTCATCAGATCCTATAAAAACACTGCCAGAATTATTTAATTTTGTTGGCTAAATCTATGAATTTTGGGATATCCTCTGTATTTGTTTGTGATGGGCTTACCAGCTCAAGGCCCTGAGGAAAGGGGTTATCTTCCCAGTCCTTCTCTGGGAAACGCTGGAGAATCCGACCTTGACCCTCACTACCTCCTACACAAAAACAAAGAGAAAAACAAAGGATAAATGGATGCATGAGGACTAAAAGCAGCTTATGTAAAGCTTTGCAAATTTGACTTGACAGAAAATGCCTTTAGTTTAGTGCACAACATGATAACCCCATAAACCCATTTTTTTCCCTCTGGAAAAAAAAACATAATAAAAATACATAATATGCTGATAATGAGTACTTCCTGGCTTATAAACAAGTAGTGCAAACTTTGTTTATGTCTTTGTATTTTAGGCATTGTTAATTAGTAATTTCAAACTAACATGAAATATTATCGCATATTTAATTCCTTAAATGTCTCTTGTGCATGATTCATTTATGCACATTGTTGTGGAGGAAAAAAAGTTCTGCTTTCATAACCTTGTATCAAAATTCCTTTGAAATGACTTAAAATAAAACTTCAAAAATAAAATAAAAAGCACAAAATATGATATATAATAAAATAAATATACAAATACTATAAATCAAACAAAACTAAAAACTAAAAAGAAACCAACAAACAAACAAAAAAACAAAAATGAAACAAACAAAACAGAAAATACAAAACAAAGTAAAACAAACATCAAAACATTTGAGTTTGAAGCTGTATGAAATAGGCTGAAAATAAAACAAAAAATAAAAAACAAGACAAAGCACAAAATTACTAAATAAATATACAAATATGATAAAGCAAACAAAAAAAACTAAAAATAAAACAAAAATGAAAAACAAATAAAACAGAAAATAAAAAGTTTTGCGTTTGAAGCTGTATGAAGTAGGCTGAATTAAAAAAAAAAAAAAAGGTTAAGACAAAATTATATAAAATAAAATACATCTAAAAATATAATGCAGCAAACCAAAAAATAAAAACAAAAGATAACAAACAAAAAAAAACTAAACAAAAAATCTCAGTGTTTGAATCAGTGTGAAGCAGGCTGAAAATAAAACTTGACACGTAAAATAAAAATAAAAATAAGAAAAATAAATTATAACAGAAAACAAGAAATTAAAAAAAGATCTACAAACATGTAGGGATGGGTACCGAAACCCGGTATTTAATCGGTACCGGGGCTAAATTATGAAAGACCGGAGTATCGATAAGCTCTGACGTTAACGGTTCTGCTATCGGTACTGGAGAAATTAATAAAACACACATACATTTATTATTGCTATATATACATTATCTTGCAAATTCTATCTCACCAGAGTCACCAGCTGTTTTTCAAACATTTGTCTATGATGCATTATTGCTATTAGCAATTCAGAAGAGATCGCGCTCAAGCGGAGGAGCTTCAGCACGCGCAACATGAAAGCCCTGTTTAATTATGATAGAAGAGAGAACTAAACATTCAAACATCTGCTTACACTTTAGGCCTGTGGCTGTTATATTAAGCTGATTTAATTTTTTTATTTCGATTTTGGCTTCTAAGGATTATACAAAAGAACACATGAGGTAAAGCTATTACTTATTATTAACTAGCTGCGTTTCGTATTGCGCAACTTCTTTCCCTTCACAGCGGTGCGCATTCGCTCCTCCCTAAAACCCAAACTTAACGTCAGCATCAGCTCAATCGGTGGTGATTGTTGTAAGATGCCATCTTTACTGTTGCTAAATTGCGGGACATGTTTGATAATAAAACGTTGAAAGCACAATCCGCACAA